CGTGGGATAGGTAGAGGAGGAAGGATTTGTCAGCACCAAATACTCCGCCGGACGCGGATTGGCCGGTGAATGTGTTGGAGATGCGTGCTCGGTCTTGTATGCCAGCATAGGTGGTCGCGATGTCGAGGGCGTCATTCACGAATAAGAGGCTGTAGATGGTGCGGGTTTGGGTGCCCTGAGGGTGTTGGCTGTGCACAATGCGGACAGGGTCCAGGCCACTGTATTGCTGGCGTAGGAGGACGTCCATATAGTATCCAATATGCATGACCGCTAGGATAGCACCTTGGCCCAGGCCGAATTCCCGGATGCCGCCATCGAGCCAGCCGAAAGCCGTGCGGATATCGATTTGACTGGCCCCAAGGAAATGGGCCATAAGTTGGCGCGGGAGGGGGGGACACCGAGTTTACGGTAGATGTATTCCATGACCCAGCCTGGGATTCTGTCGAAGCATTTGAGGCAGTCCTTAGAAATAAGGAAGAGTTCTTCCTCCCGGCGTTCGGCGCGTTCGATAAGGAGTGAGGTTAGGACAGCGGCGTCCTGAACTGTGCGGTCCCGCTGGAAGCCGTGTTGCATTTCGTGGTTGGGGATACAGGGGGTGATGTAGTCCCGTATAACGGTAAAGATTCGACCGCTGAAAGCACTTTGGACCGTGATGGGGCGCCAGGGTGGAAGTCCAGGGTCTAAGTTTACCACCCCGTGGGCTGTATCCGCTTTGGCAAGGTAGATCTGTTTTCGTCCGAGTATCGGCGGGACTAGGCCTGTGCGTAGGATGAGGTTGATGATCACCCGTTCCCTGTCTCGTATGCATGCAGCGATCCAGAGTTCCTGGGAGACGCCCCCATATCCTGGGGATACGCGTGTGCGTAGGCTGCGGTCGCAGCGGGCTTGTATGTCTTCATCGTAGTGGTAGGTGTCCCAGGTAGTGCCCGCAGGGGATTGGAAGGCTTGTGCAACTTCGTCGGGCCGGTCCATGTCCTGGAGTAGCCAGTCGCGGACGAAATGTGGGACATTTTGGCGGTCGGTCTCAAGTCCTGAGTCTACCTATGGCAATAGCATCGGCGCGGTGCCAGTACGTGGGGGGGAGAAGGGTGAGGTCACGGATCCACTTGGGCCATTCCACAAGGTGGGCTAGTCGGGTGTATTCCGTGCCAGTGCATGGGGCCGCCTCGTTGAAGCGCAGCAGTTGGCGGAGCTGTACGGTGCACCGGTTGGTTCGCTGTATCGCGACTGCCCTGTTGAGGGCTTTCCTGTTTTGGCTGGTTTCACCCCATTTGAGTTTCGCGCTGTTGTAGAGGATGTCGTACAGGTTGCGGATTGCGCAGCCAGTCCCCGATTTCCTGGGGGGACCATGCTGTGACGGCGTTAGGGGGGGGTGCGGGGGTGAGTTGGGGTAGTTGGCCCTCGCGGAGGAGGTTGGATGTGTGTACACCGAAGGATGCTATGTCAGCCTTTGCAAGGTTGCGGGTGTTGACAACGCGGATGGGTTTGACCCCAGTAAGTCGTGATGGGGTGTGGTCGCCAGAGCACAGGTCTAGGGCCATATATAGAGTGCCTGCATGGTCGCTGGAGTGGATGGTATGCAGCCAGATGCCACTGGCTCCCACTTTGTGGACTGTTCGGGCCGAGATGTAGATGTCATCGAGAGCGACGGGCGTATGTGTGCCGTTGGATGCTGGGGTAGCGGTGACGGAAGGAGGAGAAAGTCCGATGCTCTGCGTCCATTGTTGGAAGGCGATGCTGATGTCATTACTGGGGCCGGATCTTGGTGTTGGAGCAGAGCGGTTGAGGGGGTTGGGCCCATAGGTATTGAAATCCCCTCCCATGACCACAAAGTGGTGAGGATCCGTGGCTCGGGTGGCTGCCTGTGCTAGCCATTGCCATTCGCTGTCCGTGGCTTCCTTGTGGGCGGCGGGATTGTCCTGACAGTACGTGCCGATTAGTGTGACAAGTATACCTTTGCCCAGGCTGAGTGTGATGGCTATACTACGGCCGGAGGGGGAGTATGTGGTACAGCGGGCGTCGATGCGGAATGCCAGCGTTGAATGTCGTAGAGTAGGCTAACACGGTGGTTGCTAACAGCCATAAGGCTGGGTGCGTGTGTCCCACCGTGTGCGTGTGTCCATAGTTGTGTGGCCTTGTGGGCCGGCAAGTCAGAGACGGCGATGATGAGGAAGTCGAGCGCATTGGCTCGGAACCACGTGGCCAGTTCGACGCTCAATTTACCATACGTATTTTTATTGATGTTGGTCGCTGCGATACGTAGGCTATCTACCTGTATGTCCAGGGTCGGGGTTGAGCCCGCGACTCCGATGTAGGCCTCACCCTCTAGGGTTTCCCTCCGGAGGACGTTGTCCCGTTGGATGCGGGCCGTGTTCATGTCCGAGGGGGGGGAGACGCTGGATCCGCCAGAGCGGCGGCGGCGGCGCCGTCTGGGTGTGGGAGTGGTGGAGGTCGTCCGCGATGTGGTGGTCAAGTTGTTCGGAGTTATTCGAGTCATCTGAGGAGGGCGGGTCACGTAGGTGGTCGAAAGGATACGCAGCATGTAAGGGTTGCACTGAGTGTGCCGGTTGGTGTGCAGAGAGAAAAGTGGGGTCCGGTTGGGTGGCAGCGGCCATGGGTACGGAGCATATGGACCAGAGCAGGAAGCTCATGAACCATCATAGTACTGACCAGGGGCGTTGCTGGGGTGTCGTTGGTCTGACCCGACACCCCGGGGTTAGTTTGACCCCATGGTGTCGTTTGGGTCTGTCCCCATGGAGTCATCGGGTCCGGTTGGCTGGTTCAGTGGAACGGAACCATCGGGTGCGGGGGGAGACGGCGTCAGCGTAGGCTGGGTGGTGTACGTGGCTGGTAGTCTGGTCGCAGGGGTGCCGAGGGCGGCGAGGCCAGCGAGTTGGGAGGAGACACTGTGCATGGCTTGCATAAGGGTGCGTAGACTGGATCGATGATGGGGAGGCGTTCGGCCATTGCCGCTTGGTGGGTGCCCTGTTGTGTGATGGTGGTTTGCAGGCGGTTTTGCGCCTCCATCAACTTGCGTTGGTCCTCGGATTGTTGGTGTTCAGCAGCTTCCCGGAGGCGGAGTTCTTCGAGGAGTCGCGCATCGAGGGTGGTGAAGGCTGCACTGGTGGCAGAGACTAAGGCTGTGAGGGCCTCCTTATTCGCTCGGAGGGTATCGACTTCCTGCTGGAGTGGGGCTGTGGCCTGGACGATACGGTGGTCCACATATGTGGAGAGTTCCCGTCGGAGGTGTGGGACGAGGTCCGTGGTCGGGGCTGATGCGTGCAGCGGTTGTTGTTGAGGGGGGGGTATTGCCAGGATTGGGGTGTGGCTGAC